ACTGGTGATATTGCAGTTGAAGATACGATTCAGTTTGGTAATGAATTGATTATTGCAACTGGTGATATTGCAGTTGAAGATACGATTCAGTTTGGTAATGAATTGATTATTGCAACTGGTGATATTGCAGTTGAAGATACGACTCAGTTTGGTAATGAATTGATTATTGCAACTGGTGATATTGCAGTTGAAGATACGACTGGGAATGATTGCCAAAGGCATGCAAAAGGCAACGAAGGTTTCTCATTCGAAGATAGATTGGGTTTTACCGTGGGTAAAGAGTTTGTGAATAAGGATGACTTAAAAATGAAGGTAATGAAAACTTCACATGATGCATGTTTTGGATATTACGTATATAAGTCAGAACCACATTTATGGGAAGCAAGATGTCGATTCCGAAGAAAAGGTTGTATGTGGAAGGTGCGAGCAGTGGTTAAAAAGAAATCTGAGAATTTTATGGTTACGAAGCATGTGAATATTCATACATGTTCACCGGTGCTACAATCAGAAGAAAAAGAAAGGAAAACAAAGGAAGGAAGTGTAGAGATGGTTGTAGCGTATCTGAAAAGGCATTATGCGGGTCAAGTTGATCTTCCAAGAGTGAAAAGAATAATGTCTTTGGTAAGTAAAGCTTATAAATGCAAGATGACTTATATTACGGCATGGAGAGGGAGACAACGAGCTCAAAATGCTGTTTGGGGAAATCCGGTGGAGAATTATAATAGGCTTCCTAGTTATTTTCATATGTTGAAGGAAAAAAATGAAGGTACGATAGCGGATATACAATTGGAAGATGACGGGAAAACTTTTAAGTATGCTTTTTTTGCTTTGGGTGTTTGTATCAAAGGGTGGTGTGCAATGCGGAAAGTGATCGCCGTAGACGCGACATCTCTTAAAACATCATACAAAGGATTCTTGATTGTCGCCACAGCCCAAGACGGTAACCGAAATCTGTATCCTCTAGCTTGGGGGATAGTTGATACAGAAAATGATGCTTCATGGAATTGGTTTATGAAAAAATTGGTAGAAGTGATTCCTGATAGCAATGACATGGTTGTGATCTCCGATCGACATCAAAGCATATCAAATGTTGTTCGTGATGTGTACAAAAGAGCTAAACATGCATATTGTGCATATCACATCTCCCAAAACATCAAGACACTAGTGAACAAAGGAGTACGAGGTAAAAGGAACAAAAATGGAGATAGTGTTGCTGGGATGTTCTATAAATGTGCTGAGAGTTACATAGAAAAAGAGTTCACCATTCTGTGGGGTGAATTCTGCGACAGGTGCGACTTGATTGCAGTGTAAATATTGTTGGATTACGACTGATATAAATTTTTGAACAGCTTTTGAATGTTTTTATGTACAGGTTTCCGAAAGTTGCTGAATATTTGAAGAAGAGTGTTGAACCTGTTAAATGGGCAAGATGTTATTTTCCGGGAGAAAGATACAACCTATTGACAACTAATGGTGCGGAGACAATCAATTCTGTATTGAGGAAGGCGAGAACGTTACCTTTGCTCGGTTTGATTGACGTGATTGTGGATAAAACAGTGGAATGGTGGTGTAAACGCAGGACACGCGCATTTTCAAGTACACAACAACTAACACCATATGTGGAGAAAGAATTGCATAAGCGGTATAGATCTTCCAAGGTATTTACTATTCGAGAGATAAATCGCAATTGGAAAGAATACGAAGTCACTGATGATAGTGGGAAAACATATTTCGTTGATCTACAAAAGAAGTCTTGCGATTGCAGAGAGTGGGATGTTGATAAATATCCATGTTCTCATGCAATAAAAGCTGTGCATGAACATGGTGAAAAAGACAAGTTATTTGACTATTGTTCACCATACTATACAAGGGCAACATGGGAATGGGCGTATGTTGATAGCATATATCCAGTATCTGATATTTCTCACTGGAATATCCTTGAGCATGTAGCGGAGATGAAAGTGGATCCTCCTATTTTAAGACAACGAGGTGTTGGTCGACCGATAACGAGTCGAATCAAAAGTGCCGGAGAAAAACGGCGAAAGAAAAGAAGATCAAGGATGACTCCATGTGATTCAGATGACTCAAATGGGACACAGTCAAACAAAAGGAAGAAGACGGGAAAAGCAATGGAGATATAGTTAGGAGATGAAATGTAAACTGATGTATGTATATTTCATCTGATAACTGTAACGACTTTTTGTGAACTACTGAATCGTAACTATGTTGCGACCTTTTGGACTTGAAAAAAAAATCTTAGAAATTTATTTATAAAAAAGTAAGTTTTATAATCAACAACGTGTGTTCTTTATTTGTAAAAAAGCAACATGTGAAAAAAGCAACGTGTGTTCTTTATTTGTAAAAAAGCAACATGTGAAAAAAAGTAAAAATGATCAACAACAAGTTTCGTTTTGACCACAATCAGAAAAGCAAGTAAAAAAATAATTTAGAAAAACCAAAATCTGACATGTCAAAAAAGTAAGTTTTTGTCTTATTATAAACCAAAACTAATATTTTGCAACTTAAATGCGGATACATTACGATTTTTGAAATTCGATGATAATGTCCAAAAAAAGGTTAAATAAAACGAGTTTTAATTTACAATTCATATGTATGAACTTAATATTGTCTTTTTAAGTGGAAAAATTGAGTTTACAATCAAATACAAATTTTTTTATGTAAAATCATCAACTTTGGATCAAACCACATCATAATCTTTCTTACACATATAGGAGTGTTTTCTAATTTACATGACAAAAAATTTAAAAATCTTTATTTTCTTAATTTGTACCTATAAAACATTTTAAAACACTTATTTGGTATGTTTTCGTCATTTATCGACCAAAAATTTAGTAAAATTTACAAGTATATATATTAATACGACTACTGTAAGTCGTATTTAAGTTACAGTTACATATATTTTCGCAATAGAAATTTTTAGCATGGATCCACGTGTCAGATGATTACTTTGACTTTTCTTCCATCAATAACGACTTACTTTTTCATATTGCGACTTACTTTTTTGTTGCCACTTACTTTTTAAGATTGCGACTTACATTTTCATATTGCGATTTAATTTTTAATATTGCGACTTATTTTTTGAAAAAAAACAACTACTCTATTACGACTTACTTTTTAATAAATCGCAACAGACGTTTTTCATAAATTACGATTTCCAAATTAACCAAATCAACCTGTCTTCAAGTAATACAAAATACCATAACATTATACATAATACAAAATACCAAAATAACATAATGTTAGACATAATACAAAATACCAAAATAACGTAATGTCTTACTTACCTAAAACATAACATAAAACAACATAATGTCTTCAAATAGAAAATACCATAATATGATAAAACCAAGTCCAAGTCATGTGATAAAACCAAGTCCAAGTCATGTGATAAAACCAAGTTCAAGTCATATTTCCTCAAACCAAACTCATGATTTTTGTCCACGACCTCTACCTCTTCTACCTCTTTCTCGACCTCTAACGATTCCACCCTTCGAATTGATAGACGTCAAAGTATCCGCCCATGGACTCAATGTTTTACCTGATATTTTTTTTGCCCTTTTAATTCTCTCGCTTGGGTTTCTTCCAACAACTCTAATCTCTTGGTCTTCTTTCTCGGGCTCTCCTTGGTCTTCTTTCTCGGGCTCTCCTTGATCTTCTTTCTCGGCCTCTCCTTCTTCTTCTTCTTTCTCGGGTTGTCCTTGGTCTTCTTTCTCGGGCTCTCCTTCTTCTACTTCTTTCTCGGGCTCTCCTTCTTCTGCTTCTTTCTCGGGCTCTCCTTCTTCAGCATCTTCATCGCATTTTTCATTTCCTTCTTCAGCTTCTTCATCACATTTTTCCTTTCCTTCTTCAGATTCTCCGCCAACTTCTTCTTCAGTTTCTTCAGATTCCTCATCACCTTCTTCAACTTTATCGGTATCTCCTTTATCAACTTCCTGTTCAACTTCTTTTTCAGATATATCAGCACCTTTTTCATCTCCTTCTCCAGATTCTCCACCTTCTTCTTCAACTTCTCCAGCAGATTCTTCAACACCTTCTTCTTCATCTGTTTTCGTATCTTTTTCTTCTTCTCCTTCATCTTCTCTTTTATCTTCTTCTGCATCTTCAGTTCTTCTCGGTATATCAAAGACAACTTCATTTCTTTCCGATAGATCAACCATAACCTCAATTGGATCCTCAGGAGTCATCTTATATCTGGCGGAAGTCTCGCCCTTTTCATTCATTGACAAGTTATCATTCATCTTCTTCATCAATAAGTCCATTCTAGCTTCAGCTTCAAAGGGCGAGTCGTACTTACCTGCTGCGATCATACCAGCAATAATCAATTTCTTCATATATTCACCTTGGTCTTCAATCGCTTTCTGCAAGTTGGTTTCAGTCTCAACCAATTTTTGACCCAAAAACTGAATCTTTCCTTTCAGTTGTCTCACTTCAGCCCTCAATTTGTTCAAATCTCGACTACAGACTTCTTCTTCTTCTTCTCCTTCTTCTTCTTCTTCTTCTTCTACATCATTATCGGTTACTGGTTTTTTCCCTTTATCAGTTTTTCCTCTCTTTTTATCCCACTTCCGAGGTGAAGCAGGTAGTTTCCTCTTTTTTTGCTGAAGCATCATTGGTACTTCAACTCGAGATTTCACATCAGCCTCGAGTATATCCTTCCATTTCACAGATTTTGGATCCTCAATCAAATGAGCAATCCAACTATCAACCACCTCATCAAAATTATCTTTGATTTCCAAACCATCAAGCAAAGATGCTTCACCATGTTCTGGGAACAGAATGCTCGCAATATCCTGAAAAAAGAAATTGTTCAAACTTAATTCCAGTTTAAAAGCCTATACCTTTTTAACATCGCTAACACTTTACAACCCATAGTAGAAACAAACCTGTGTCCTGCCGATCCTTGTTAATCCTTGTTTGATACCGTATTTTTTTTTCGGGATGAAACATCTCTTACACATCCGAGGGCATGTTTCTGTCACATTACCTTCCGGTCTCACTATGTTATACCATCCACCAGAACGAAGTTTAGGAATACATTCGAACGGCAACATCTGCAAAATCAACCACAAATTATTAATAATCAGATTCTTCAACAACTTTGTGTTAATTTAAACGACTTACCGTGAGTGGAATTATAAATCCTGGTAAGTTCCATTGATTGACTGGTTTCCGATGCTTGTTCAAATAATTTAGAATAAATCCATGAACAGATTTGAAGGTGAACGTTCCCCAAGGGAATTGTTCACAATCCTCGACGCTATTAACAATCCTCAACAACAACGGATTGACGTATTCTGAATGTTGATGTCCAATCACATAGCTAAGAAGCAAGAGATACGCCATCTTCAATCCGTCTTCCTTGTCATCTTTTGTCAATTGCCCAAATTTATCCATCACATCTCCTTTCGTAACCTTCTCAAAGCTGTCTTGACCAAAATATTTTCTATAGAAATCAATCCCTCCATATTCCTCCAAATTTTCTGGTAATGGAGAGCACTTTAGGCCGCTGAGAAGAGCATGCTCCCACAACGAGTATCTAATAGGACAGCCGTTAATGACGAACCATAACTCATCATCTTTCTTCGTCTTCACTACCCGATTAATGAGTGCAACCATTAAGCTCATTTTCAGCGACTGCTTCTTCTTCATGTGAAATATGTGCCTAAATGGCGATTCTTCCGTGAAATACCTCATTTCCTCCTCAGTCAAATACTTCTCCAAATATTCCACTGCTTCTATATGAAAACATTTTGATGACAACTTCACCGCAATCTTGTTCATGTCATCGAATTCATAATAGAATTCTGTTTTCGGTATATCATACATCTGCAATAACACACATATTCATTAAATATATAACAGATTTCGTAACTTATTCACTACCATTATGTATTAGCTACTTAGTATCAGACACTTCCCAAATTTTAAGTTACAATGTAATTACAACAAAAAATCATAACTCGAAAGAAAACTGAACTCACTACTATTACTTATTTACTACTTCGTATCAGCCAATTCGCAAAATCTAATTAAATTACAATCTGAATGATTTTTTATTTACTACTTCGTATCAAAGACTATTCAAATTTTATGTTTTAATCTTCTAAATATTTGAATGAGAGTTGATTTCGCGCTTTGTATTTCATTCAGATAATTTTTTTTTTAAAATGAAAACTTAAACCTAATTTTTATACAAATTTAACTTAAATTCAAACTCAAATCGAAATATCTTACATGTGTTTCAGGAGAAGCTTTCGTTGATTTTTCAGGAGAAGCATCTGCGCCAGTAGAACAATCTCCCTCACTCGACGACCGAGACTCCATTTCCTTCGTTCGTCTTCGGTCCAGATACCTTGCGTTCCTTCGTTCTTGTCTTCCTTCCTTCGATTATCGGTTTCACTTTCAGTTGAACCTCCCGAATTTACCGATTTCAGACGGTTGAAAAGATGACACCCTTCGTCAGAAAAAGCAACATCTTCTTCTTCGGTTTCAATCGAGTGAGAAGAAGCGACTGGGTTGCTTGATTCCTGACTGGGTTGCTCGATTTCTGACGGGATTGCAAGATTTCCGGCGAGTCGCTCGATTTCCGGTTGAGTCGCCTTCTGCGTCTCTCTCTCTTTTCTGTGACGGTAAAAAGCTAGGTTTTTTTTTTCCAGATTTCCCCCTTTTTTACCATCTTTATCGACAGATTTCCCCCCTCTCTTTTCTGTAAGTATTACACGTGCACACACGTTTTTTCATTAAGGGGTTTAGGGTCATTTCCAGTTTTTTTAAGGGTAGAGAAGTCATTTGTTAATTGTTTATATTTTTCAGGTGTACCCCTGAAATTACTGCGACGCAGATAGTGTATTTGAGAAAAAAGGCCGATCTGAAAGGGTTGAAAACCTTTGACAAAATATCAAAACCCAAACAATGAGATGCTAAAATCAGAACCACTTATCAGACAATAGAATCATTTTTAGATCGGTTTAACACTTGAACCGACCAAATTCTACATTTTGCGACCATAAAACAAAAACACATTCCCCTAAACCCAGAAACATCACCAAGATTGAAATCATAAAATGGATCTCAATTTAAAAAAAAAAATGAGAAAGAAACAGGCAGAGAGTACTTGGATAGATTCAAAGGAACAGATTTACCAAATTACCCTTGTATACGTACACCATTGGTAAGGCAGTTTTCTCTTACAGTAAAGATGTAATATGAGTAATACCTGTACTCAAAGAGGATCAGCTACTACCCTTTTGTTTCAGGGTGATCTTGTCGCCGAGACTAAGTGCAATGCCTTGCGTCTTGCTCCTTATCCTTATGTAACCGCCGAGCTTTCCATCACATTGTTTCTCGATGCTTATGTTCACCAATGCATCCTCCCCAAACACGCTCTTCGCGTATAAGTTTGCAGCTAGGAACCCGCAAGAGCCTTCTAACGCGGACCTGAGAAGCAAAGCAACGATAATATTAATACGGTGAAGGATGAATGGCAAGTCGAACGATGATTGCACGGTTTCAGGTAGAGATCAGATTATCTTACGTTGCGGTGAGGCATTCCATGTTCGTCGATTTAACGATGTGATCGAGGAATTCTTTCTCGTCTTGGATCATTGTGTTCACAGCAACCTGACGTAAACACAACAACGACGACGAAATCAGATTACTACAGAGATCCTAAGAAGAAAGCTAAGAAGGAAGGAAAAAGTTGGGGGAATGAATTAAGGGTGGGTGCGGGTCTGAAACCCGAGAGTTTTGGCTTACCCTTACCTATACCCAAACCCGATCATATTGGATCTCACGAGATATTACTCGATACCGGACCCGATTTTGTTGGGTATCTGAAGATCGGGTAACGGGTAACCAAGAGAATTTTCGAGTATCCGTGGACACCTAAACCCGAAGTCCAAATACAAAAATTTTTAATTTTTTTCAAAATCTATATGATTATATATACTAGGGATTAGTTCGGGTTCGTACTCATAAATTTTGAGAGATTTCAGTTCAAAAACCCAGATTTATATGTAATCTATTTAAAACCAGACAAGTTTACTCTTCATTCGGGTACCCACAGATAATACCTGTTTTGGATCAATTATCCAAACCCGATTTTCAAGGTTCCCTCATGACCAAAATCGATCTCATCTCATATAATAACCGAGTACCAAAAATTCGAGTAAACATCCGACGGATCGGGTCAGGTACTGAATTTCGGGGGGGGGGGGGG